CTCTCTTTTTTTTTTTTACTCCCCCCCCTCCCTTTCGTCTTTAACCCCCCCCCCCCCCCCCCGGCTGTTTGGTGAACAGAAGGAAATGAAAAACCTCATTTAATTATAGTTGAATTCAAGTTGATATCAATCATGTAAAATGTGTCTTTCAGTAACATGGTTATGTTCTAGACTGACGTGTTCTCACCGTGTTCTCACCGTGTTCTCGCCGCGTTCTCGTCGTGTTCTCACCGTGTTCACGCTGACCTCCGTTTGTTACAGCATTCACTTCTCAAGCCGACACTCCTCCGCTCTGTCCGGGGGTTCACCTGTGCGTCACGTCGGTCGTTATCGTGTGAAAGTTGCGGTCGATTCACCGCTCGGTTCTGTGGTGACAGAGACACAAACGTCAGCTGTTCCCACGCTGACATCATCGTTGTTTCTGTGGTCACAGAGTTTACAGAGGTAGCTGCACCACAGCTGTCCAATCAGAACACACTATCCTCCTGTCTGATGTCATCAGGCCTCATTAGTAACAAGTGTCTGATCATTAGAGAGTTAAATATTTAGTCTGTGTTAAAATCACAGTTTGACTCACAAATACTGGAGATGGAGATAAAGTCGCATCAGAAACCAAACATCATTGTTAGGAATATTTGTTGTTTTTTTTTCAGTTTACTGTTGTATAGTAGTAGAAACGACTGTAGTGAGGTGTCAAACTGTACTTACCCATCACCATACTGCCCCCCCCCTTAACACCTGAACTTTTGTACACTTACCCATCACCATACTGCCCCCCCCACCTCTCAACACCTGAACTTTTGTACTTGTGTTCATGAAGCACGGGGATCAATAAAAAGATTATACATCCATGCACTTCATGATGGTGTTAAATGACTAACCATTCAGAGTCTGATCATTGATCAATATGTCAGTGATGTCAGTGATGTCAGTGATATGAGCTCAGCTCACCTCAGCTCAGCTGTTCAACAGAAGGCCGTTCATCTGAATGCTGCTGCCACTGCTGCTGCTGCTGCGATCGCTCATGTTTCTCTGACAACTGGATTTGGATAAATGTCCGTTTACAGGCCTGGGTTGTAAGAACTGCTCAGTCTGTGTTGTAACCACTCAGCCGTGGGTTGATGCTGATGGTTTTATTACCTGCAGATGACAGTCTGTCCGTCAGCGCGCTGCTCTTCACCACACTGATATATCTCAGAAGGACTTGATGGATGGTGTTGAAATCTGCTGCAGATGTTCATGTTTCCCTCTGGATTGAGTGGAAAAACATTTCTGATTCCTCGTCTCTCATCCAGCACATGGACAGACGCCGTTGTTCCTCTTCATCCCAGCCTTTATTTTGTGACCACGGACTGAAAAAGAGCCGGAAAAGAAGAAGAAAATTAGGTCAAAGCTGCTGAACGTAAAGCTATAAACAGAGTCATTAACAGTCAAACTGAAAGAATGGGAACAACTCGATGTTTTCATCAGTCTGAACATGTCGTCGGAGCTCAGTGTGGACGACGTCGTCTGAGCTGCAGCAGCAGCAGCAGCAGCAGCAGCAGCATTAAACGTCCTTGGAAACTGAGCATCAGTGAGAAATAACTGGGTGTCAGTGGAATGTTAATGACACGTCACTAACTGCTGTTAAACCACAGCTGCTGTCAATGAATTCAACAGTCGAAGGAAGTGGCACGACCACATTATTACACCGCTGTTACACTGTTTTATGGTGCTGTAACAGTACTGTAACAGTTCTGTTTCAGTGGCCTTACTGTGATGTAACAGTACCGTAACAGTGTTGTTACTGTGATGTAACAGTTCTGTTTCAGTGATGTTACGCTGTTGTAACAGTACTGTTTCACAGGTGTTACTGTAATGTAACAGTTTGGTTTTAGTAGTATTATTGTGATGTAACAGTGTTGTTACTGTGATGCCATAATACTGTAGTACTGTAGTGTTGTTGCTGTGATGTAACAGTTCTGTTTCACCGATGTTACTGTGATGTAACAATACTGTAACAGTACTGTAACTGTGATGTAACAGTTCTGTTTCACCGATGTTACTGTGATGTAACAATACTGTAACAGTACTGTAACTGTGATGTAACAGTTCTGTTTCAGTGTTGTTGCTGTGATGTAACAGTACAGTAACAGTGGTGTAACAGTACCGTTATAGTGGTGTTACTGTGGTATTATAGTACTGGAGGATGGAGGATGAAAGTGTTTTTTCCAACAGACCTGCATTTCTGAATCTGTGTTTTTTGGTTTTTTTTGTTTTTTTCAGGTCAAGACGAGGACGAGCAGAAGATCCTGGTCCTCAGTTATCCTCAGTATTGTCGATATCGGTCGGTGTCGGCGCGGCTGGCAGAACCGTCGTCCTCTCTGCTCATCAACCACACCGTGTTAGCGCTGGGTGGCATCGCGGCTCTGGACGGACACATCCAGATCCTGTACTGTCGAGACACCTTTGATCACCCCACCCTGCTGGAGAACGAGAGCATCTGCGACCATTTTGGTGAGTGACCTCGATGACTGGTGTGTCAGCTGGTTTCTGTGCCTCTTTGTGTCAGAGTAAACTGTTCCGTAACAGAACTGAAGAAGTTCTAATGCTCACCTGTTCAAAAACAAATTCAAATTCTGTATCATTTGAATTTGACAGAAACAACAACAGTGTCTTTAAACACAGTCTAATTTGCTCTCTGTGGAACAGTCTAATTCCTGGAACAGTGTCTCTGCTCCGTTTGTTCTGATGAATGATTGAATCTCCATCTCTGTTGGTCTCGGGGGGAAAGCGTTCATCAACAACCACACAATAATGAATCAATATTCACGCAGCAGCTTCACCGGCTGTAATTTTACCGGCTGTAATTTTACCAACTGTTTAATTTTACCGACTGTTTAATTTTACCGACTGTTTACCGACCCAGGACTGGTTGCTGGACCCCTGTTTGTTTCTGGGCCACGACCCTCAGACATGAACCTGGTGGGAACTGTTGAAAGTACGCAGTTGAGTCTGTGTTCACACAGATGAGCAAGGCATTAATGTTTAACCAGACGCTGAACCAAATTTATTCCTGGACCAGTATCTTTTTCTAGTTTCTAAGATAAAAACAAGTGAAAAAAGTGTTTAAATGTCCCGGTAAACACACACTCCCAAACAGGCTGGGCCTGGACCTAGGCCTGTCTCCATGGTAACAGCAGTAAGCACATGCAGCAGAGCATTTCCACCAGGGATGCTGATGTTGACGGTGATGATGATGGTGATGAGGAAGAGGATGTGAATCCTCAGAGCCGTCAGAGAGGATTTCAATCATGAGACAAAAATATTAAAAGTTCTGGTTTGAAAACAGATTAAAGCATCTGGACACAAGAGCAGGAGTAAAGGAGGAAAAACAGATCAGAGCCATCAAAGACAATCAGGACTATCAAAGACAACCAGGACCATCAAAGACAATCAGAACCATCAAAGACAATCAGAACCATCAAAGACAATCAGAACCATCAAAGACAATCAGAACCATTAAAGGCAAACTGAACCATCAAAGACAAACTGAACCATCAATTGCAAATCAGAACCATCAAAGACAAACAGAACCATTAAAGAGAATCAGAACCATCAAAGACAGATCCTCAGAGTAGACGTATCAATATGCTGCAGCTCAGATAGACTGTGTAAACTTGAGTTTGTGTGTTTTCTTCGGGGGGGGAGGGGAGTGGACGTATCAATATGCTGCAGCTCAGATAGACTGTGTAAACTTGAGTTTGTGTGTGTGTGTTTTCTTCGGAGGGGGAGGGGAATTTGTTGGTGAAGGAAAATACACATGTAATACAGGTGCATCGTTTCAGCCCCGCCCTCTTCTAGATTTTCCTCTGGGGTTTGTTTCCTGAGCACAGATTGTTCTTCATCAATAATTCACTTCATTTAAACTCGGCTTCTTGTTGTTATGCAGCAGAGTTGGCCAGTTGTTTTAGAGCGGGTTAATGCAGCAGCAGCAGCAGCAGCAGCAGCAGCAGCTGCTACTGTAGAAAATCAAATATTTAACTCCAGGCTGTGAAGTTCTGGCCCTGGTTGTAAATGAAGTGAGAACATCTTCATGTTGTGACTGGAACAAAGTGGCGTTTGGACGTGGAACCTTTAGCAGATTTTGTTTCCTCTCCTGTTAGAAGCAGCAAAGGGACGTTCTGACGTTCTGACGTTCTTCTTTCTCTCATTTTAGCCCCAAACCTGAAAGGTCGGCCTCGCAAGAAGAAGCTGTCCTTCCGTCAGAGGAGGGACTCCCACAGTAAAACTCAAGGTCAGGGGTCATCGTCGAGGTCGGTCCATGGCTCATCAGCAGTATCAACGCAAGAGCTGTGCAGCAAAGAGGGCAGAAATACCCCCAAGGTAAAGACGTTCTCATCACTGAGATAAAAACTGAGATAAAAACTTAAAGACGTTGGGGGGCAAAAAAAGGCAGTAACACCAGGTGTATTATTTACTTTTCTAAAATAAATTAAACGTTCAAATGTCTCTGACCCAAAAAATGTGGGATTGTTTTTTATACAGTGTTTGTTTTCATTCAAACACTGGGTGGCGCCACTTTAAACATCATAAAAAGAAGATTTGGTGCTGACGTCTGGGTCTAATAGTTGGTCACAACCAACGTTTTTAGGATCATACTGTCACCTACTGGACTGCAGTGTGTAGTGTCATGGTCTGACCTGTGACTTTTCGACAGCTCAAACACGGCTGCAGAACCTTCGCAAACGGAAAGATGTCCACCGCGGCCAAACACAAGTCCAACGGCCTGAGCAAGAAGATCTGTGCGGAGGAGAAGGAGGAGGAGCAGGAGGAGGAGCAGAGCGACAGTGAGGAAAAGGAGAAGAAGACGGAGGAAACATCAGAGGAGAGTCGAGCGGAGGAGCAGGCGTTCTTAGTCTCGCTCTACAAATACATGAAGAACAGAGACACGCCCATAGAGAGGATCCCCTTCCTGGGCTTCAAACAGAGTGAGTGACACTGACCAGCTGACCAACTGACCAGCTGACCATCTGACCAACTGACCAACTGACCAACTGACCAGCTGACCAACTGACCAATTGACCAGCTGAGCCTTCGTGTGAACTAAGACAAATGACATGTAAAAGTCATGCAAAATTTCCTACGCCAACCATTGGGGAAACGTGGGAACTGCAAGGAAAGGCAGAAGTATAATGATAATATAAATAAATTATATAATTTGGAAAAGTTTGGTGGGTCAGATAAAAAAGATGAATGGGCCACATCCAGCCCCCGGGCCTTAGTTTGCCCATGCCTGGTCTAAATGTTGGTAGAAGTTTATGAACCACAGGAGAAACAGACCATCAGTCAGAGATGTTACAATAACAATGGTCCAGATCTGGGTCCAGGCCCAGGCCCAGTCCCAGGTCCAGG